TGAGAGGGTGAGTGAAATGGAAAGCTGTTTTTCTTTTAATTTAACTGGAAATTTTAAAACTATGTATAAATACAACATGGACATAAATAAATAAATAAACTTTTTAAAAAAAACTATTGCCATATTTAGATAATTTTCAAAAACAGCCACAACTTAAAACCTAACCATACCTCCTGTAAATTTTGGTCTTCTTGAGTCCAAGAATTTAAAACATGTGCTCCAGAGTCACTCACAATGAAATTCACCTAATAGATGTCAAAGAAACAATTAATATTCAACTATAATTTTACTTAACCACCATACTTTTATATAATATGTAATTTCTACCACTGGTTCATTGTTTGATTAATTCATTCATTTTATAATAACAGAATGCCTAGCTTATACCAGGTACTATTCTTAGCAGTGGGGACATGGTACTATAGGGCTGGATGAAACAATTCTGTCACAATGTGGGGGAAGTCTAGAATGGGGAATGTGATAAAGTAAGGAGCACTGCAACAAGAATACAAATTAACATGATAATTTCAGAGAGTGATAAATGCTATGAAAAACAGTTGTTAGCTACTCTAGATCAGGTTGTGAGACACAGGCTCTCTATAGAAAGTGGCTATCTAGAGAAAATTAAAATGACCAAAGGAAACCAGCCACTGAAAAAAAACAGGGATAGAGAATTCCAGGTACAGCAAACAGCAAATGCAAAAGTTGATAAGTGTGTACCCTTAGAAGAGTTTTAAAAAAATAAAGAGTAAGCAGAGTAGCAGGAAAAAAGTTCAAACTGAGAATATAACTCAGTGGTAGAGCACTTGCCTAGAATGCGAAAGGCCTTAGGTCTGCTCCCCAGCACCACAAAAAACTACCAGGTAGGATGATGATAAGGAACATATTAGAAAATATATCAAGTGACTATGTCACTTTTTGAGAGGAAGAAGAAATTTCTTTCTTTCCCCTGGATGATATGATCTTTTTTTCCCTAATATACATGAAATGGCTAGTTTCCTTCTTTAAAGAAAAGGTTTGATAATCGGTCTTTTCTCCAATGTTTATCTGACAGGAATAAAT